GGTGAATATTACAAACAATATGGTGATGACAATAAAGGGTGAGCCACACCAATTCTATAATGGTACGTAGTTGGAATTACATAATTATAATTAAGTAAATGTGTTGCATGTCTCTCTCATCAACCAAGATATTTTATCAATTGGCTCAGAATTTTTCACCTGTCAACATAAATATTTTTTCCTGAACACGTTTAAATTGATTAATATACCAAAGTGATTAATTCTTTCTTTGTCTTCAAATTATAAATATATATTAAAGCAAAGTTTATGTATCCGTAGTATACTTCGCATGTTTTTCTTTTGTAGACATCAATCTAGGCATAAATAATGGTGAATATTTCAAACAATATGGTGACAAAAAAAGGGTGAGCCACACCAATTGTTATAATTGTACGTATAGTAGTTAAAATTTACATAATAGAATCAATTATGATGCTTATATGTACCTACGTTAAATGCTATATTGTGGGGTTGGTAATTCTAAGAACGTCTATGTGTCACGTAGACCCTTTTTCATTAGGCCATATCATCTACTCAACCTCTCATTATGCCACATCACCACTCAATCAGCCTTAATCATTATGCCACGTCACCCCAACCAACATTACTCCATATAAAAACATGAGGATAAAGAGATTCAAACACAACCTCTTATAAGAAAGATGGTTATTTTACCATTTAAGCCAATCATTAACCATGTTATAAACATGAAAATAAATGTACATAATTGTAAATTACAAGGTCTAATTAAAAAAAAAAAAAAAAAAAACAGACACCATAAAGGAATAATTGCAGTAGTTACCCGGTACAACACACAGGCTACACACTAAAGCTAGTTATTATTAGAGCAAGATTAGCCCTAAGTATTAAGACTCTAGGTGACATCATCAATTTTTGATTATGTGGTCTTAAGACAAGACTTTATTTTTTTTATGCATTTTTGTGGCTTTGTCTTAACAAAATCTCAAGTAGAGTCTTGAATTTAAGACTCAACTTAACACTTTTACACTTTGTTTTTAACTATATACACATCAAAACACAGTGTTTTGATTAAAAAAAATTAATTAACTTTTTTTTTTTTTAAAATACATTAATTATTTGATTTATATAAATTTTTTTTGTAAATATATGTTGAATTTTTTTTTTTGGGAAACAAAGTGTATATATGCATCCAACTGCAGCAAGACTCACTAGAAGACATCATTAATCGCAACATGATTTGTGGAGTCGTTTTGGGGGAAGTGATATTTGAATTCAAATCAATTTTACTTTACATTACAACTATTTTAATGCAATATGTGTGTTTTTTTTTTTTTAATTTTACATGTATTTTAAAATCTTTTAAATTTATGTAATTCCATTATAATTTATTTTTATGCATCATCTATATTGCATTATTGCATAATGTGAATTTTAATATTAAAATATAATATGTTAAAGGGAAAAAAATAATAAATTTTTTAAAGAAATCTAGAATGAGTCTTAGGGATGAAGAAATAAATTTGATTGAGTCTTAAGGAGTCTTAGCATAGTTTTAAATTAAAAAAAATAGTTAAATTTAAGTTAATAGCTGATGTGGCAATAGATTTAAGTCTTTAGACAAGACTGCGCTAATCTTGCTCTTAACTAAATGTGTTACAGTACTTAGTGACTCGTAGTGCACGCTAGCTAGTTGCATTATATTGGCCTTCTTTTGGAGTCTCCTATAATGGTGATTGTCACGTTGTGGTTCACTTGACGGCGATATGGAAATAAATTAAACAACGCATGTGTTAAATTGAGTGAGATTTTTAAATGAGATTTTTTTGAGAAAACATCTTTTTAAAACTTGTAAAAAGAAACCTAATTCATAATTTGCCTGATTTTGGCTTTTGGACTCGAATTTTACAACATTGATTTCAATTCAACCACAAGTTCTCTTAATTACTTTATGTTTGCTCCACAAGCGCTATTTCGTTACTTCCCTTTCCCAACCTCTGTTGTTGCCACATCTCTCTCTCTCCACCATCTTAATTTCGGCGGTTTGGTTTCAATAAAAAATTAGAGTTTACCACCTCTGATATTGAAAATATGCATTGCCTTAAATTAGCTTTACAAACTAAAAAAAAAAAAAAAAACAAAACTATTAAGATTCCTAAAAGATAAGAAAACAACTACTCACTCCGCTCCTTAATACTTTTGGTACTTGGAGTTTTACACGTGAATTAAAAAATTGAAAATTACATGATTAACAATACATTTATAAATAAAAACCTGGCCTATTCCCCTTGCATAAATAATTGTTCCCAATCATAAAAAATATTCCTCATGAATTTTTTTTTTTTGTTATTCAATGTGAGCATAAAATTTTGTGACAAAAATGTTTTTATATTTTTATAAGGGTATTGTGGGAATAAATATAGCTATAAATAGAAATAAGAAATACATTTTTGGACATTAAAAAAGATAATGGGAAAAGTAACGAGGGACGAAGAGACTAACATTCAATTTATAAACTTTATCCTAAAAACAAATCTTATAAGTTAAGAGTCTTAATGTGCTTAAAACGCGAAAATCCACTCAAATAAACGGTAAAAATGTATTCTATCTGTTTTTATTTATTTGTCCTATTTACGTTTTGCACAATTTTCAATGCATGCATTATCTTAACTAAAATATATCTATTTACATAGTACAAAAAGTTATATAGATTACATATTTAAAAACTTAAAATCAAGATGAATATAACAAAATTTCACATGACAATGTTTGAAGTATGGAAAAGTAATTAAATCATAAAATTCCATTTGAATTACAATTTTCCGAGATTTCAAAGAGGACAAATAGAGAGAGTAAGATGAATCTTTTTTGGTGCAAAGAGGAAGCTGAATCTAGACCAGAATTAATTAAGCTAAGCTCAAAAGGGCCAATGATGCTTCCACACCAAGACCATTAAAAATAAAAAATAAAAAAATTGTCTCATCGTGTGCTTTTCAAATATCCTTATAGTTTTCATAAAATTTTAAATATGTAATTATAGACATTTAGCAATAAGTAAATACGAATTAAAAGTTCTAACCTGGTTTGATCCAGAGTTTTTTTTTTTTTTTTTTTTTTTTTTTTTTTTTTTTTTTTTATCTAATCGTATCTAAATTGATTTTGAAAAATAAAAATAGATACGGAGCAATAAATACTCCCTTTTTTTAAGCTAGAGATTAGATTGCGCGGAGTTTTAGGTGGTTTAATAAAATAAGATGTTAGTGGAGGTAGATAAGGTTATTATTTTATTGAAAATTAAAGTGGAGTGAGAGAGAGTGGGAACCATTGAAGGACTGAGAAATGATAAAATAAGAAAGAATGGGGACATTATTGGGTAAAGATATATTATTAAATTGTAAGAGATTTTCAAAAATGTAAGTCTAGCTTATAAAAAAAACGGACGAAAATAGTAACTCTAGCTTATAAAAAAAACGGAGGGAGTATCATAATTATGTTGTAAAGAATAGAGGTGTCAAAACCGAACGGATCCGGAAAAAATTATCCATTTTGAACTGTAATTGATCGGATTTGACTAGAGAAATTCAGGACCCAAATCCGATCTGTAGCCGACCTGAACATAATCCGATCCGAATTTAACCCGATCTAATCTGAACTTAACCTGACACTGATTTGACACGACTTGAACTCAACCCGAACCCAATATGACCCGACTTGAACTCAAACTGAATCGATTTGACCCGACTTGAACTCAACTCAATCCAAAAATGACCCGACAAATAACCGATTTAATCCGATCTGTTTTAAGCCAAACTGATATTACCCCGACCCGATTTTAAACCGATCTGATTTTAACCCGATCCAATTTTAACTCGACCATAACTTTAAACCTAACCTATTGTGGACTTTTTTTTTTCAAGTTCTTATACTACTATATATTTACAAATTTACTAATTATTAATAAGTTAGAAAGTCTAAAACTCTAACAAATATCTTATACAAATTGAATTAGTAATAAAGCAAACTAATAGTACTTGAAGCCTCATGAGATTAAACAATTGAAGAGTAATACCTTAAAAAAAGGACATTCTTTTTTTTATATCACCATGTGTGATTATCATCTATCAATCTATCAGTCTATCACTAGTTCATTATTACTAATCGTCTCACTTATGTACGTAGGTATGATAAGTCATCGATAATTATTCAATTTAAATTTGGCTCCAATATAAATATTATACAAGAATTTATTGAATGAGAAAATTAATTCTTCGCATTTCGTTATAATTAACCACAAAATATGAGAAATGACACATGAATGACTTGATATCGAACCAATTATAAGGTAAAAATTCAATAATTACTCTAGTTTAAAAATGACCTTATTTGGATATTGAATTTGGTCAACTCGACAAAAATCTAGACAAACATGGAAAGGATTTGGATCGGAATTGACCAAATACTGAATCAATCTTATCTTAATCAAACCGAACTTGACCAAACCGAAATCAACCCACCCAAATTCATCCGACCCGAAATTAACCCGATCAAACCTGTTTTGAACTCGATTTGAATTTATCCGAACCGAACATGAACTGATCTAGAGTTGACCCGACCCGGACTCGATGAGCCATGACCTGAATTTGACCTGACCCGACCCGACCCGATCTGATCCGAGTTAAAAGAATAATTTTGACCCGAACAAACCCGACCCAAACTCCACCTAGTTATCCGAATTGACACCTCTAGTAAAGAACAATTCCTAAATGTAGTACTATTTACATAAAGAAGGTGACAAACGCGAATATAAATAATTGAGTCTTAAATTATTACACCCTTCATTTCATAAAGATTTTCCCGTTTACATTTATCGATGTAAATTTTTTATTGTAAAAATCTTTAATCTCAAGTCAACAATAAATTTTAAAAATTGGATATTAATAATATACCTTTTGAGACTAATCAAACTAGACTTTATATGACTATATTTGATATTATATATAGAGAGGAATTTAAAAGATTTCTTCTCATTTTTAAAACCTAAAGATTCCAAATGGAAAGATCAATAAAAAACAGATACAATAGAAGACAAATTTGTCCCTTATAAATTAACTTTGTTGGAGTTCAATAATTCTTCAGAAAACCAAAAAACACTTTATCCTAAAAACTTCAGATTCAATATTGAATAAACTCTAATAGAGTAAATATGCAGTGCATGATTGAGGAAACAAATGTTGTTCGTCCTCTTGCAAATTATCATCCAGACCTTTGGGGCGATCGCTTCTTCAACTACACTCCTCCGGATACGGTATGATTTACATTTACTCCATACGTAACATAATTATTGCTCGTAAATATTATGTTTGGGCTGCACTTATTATCGGTCGAGAGATTCTACTATACAAATTTAAAAGAGGTTTCCTAATAAAGCCATATGGCAAATTGGTAATTAAGGGAGTCATTTTTTTTATTTTTTTTTTGGTCTTTTGTCTTTGTCTTATGATATATGTTTAATTTACCTGATTTGGTTTGATTAGATTTTATTATTTAACCGAATTTTGACTTTTTTTGAATACAAATTTGTAAGGTTATAGATTATTAAAGACTTTTCAATTATATAAATTTAATATAAAATTCGATCCAATCTAATTGGGTTAGATTTGACCTTTTAAAAATAAGCAAATACTTCGTATCAACTTATATAAGTTGAATTGAACATAGCCTTAAAAGGTCAAAGGATATAGTCCAAAGAAATCGTCCATAAGTTAAATATGTTTCTACCATTTTTTCATTGACTATTGGCTTATATTAGGTTACCCAAGGCCAAATGGAGCAAGAGGCTGTAAAGCTTAAAGAGCTAGTGCGCCAAGAACTATTGGTCATTGACAAGGACCCAAAAGAAAGGCTTGTATTTCTAGATGACATAATTCGACTTGGAGTAGCATATCACTTTGAAGATGAAATTGAAGACATCTTTCAAAAATTCTATAAGAAGTTGTATGTTGATAGTAGCTATGAGGATGATCTTTACTATGTTTCACTACGCTTTCGTCTTCTTCGACTACATGGCTTCTATGTTTCATGTGGTATGACACCATCTTCATCACCATTTAATTTTATGTGTTAAATTTATTTACATGTTAACTTTATTTACATTTGAAGATTATTAATTCTTTATTTTTATGTACTAAACCAGATGTATTTGAAAACTTCAAATGTGAGGATAAAAGCTTTAAGGATTGTCTAGCAAGTGATGTGCAAGGCTTATTGAGCTTGTATGAAGCATCATATCTAGGAGTACATGGAGAGAAAACACTCGATGAAGCTCGCGCATTTGCTACTACTCATCTAACCTCCTTTGCTACACAATTAAGCTCTCCCATGGCCGAACAAGTAGCCCATGCCTTGAAATTACCCCTCCATCGACGTACTATGAGACTAGAATCATGGCATCAAATCTCATTTTATGAGTCAAAGTCTTGCAACAATGAAACTTTGCTTAAATTTGCAAAGTTAGATTTCAATTTGCTTCAAATATTGCACAATAAGGAACTTAGAGATCTTACCAGGTAAATATGTGAGGTAACTTAATTAATTTGGATACAATTATTGAGAAAATCTAGCTACTTCTTTGAATGTTCTAAACTATGGTTTATGCTTAACACATACAGGTGGTGGAGAAGCCTGGATTTGGAAAAAAAATTACCTTTTGCACGACATCGGTTGGTAGAGGTTTACTTCTGGATTTTGGGCGTGTACTACGAACCTAAGTACTCATATGCGAGGATGTTGTTAACCAAATTGTTCAAGATTATATCTATTGTAGATGACATCTACGACGCTTATGGAACTGTCGAAGAGTTAGAACCCTTCACAGAAGCAATTCGAAGGTTCGTTATTTTTTTTTTTTTTTTTTTTTTTTTTTACCAAGAATTCAAAGGTTCGTTAACATGAACATATGTACTAAGTGAACCTAAAATTTTCTTAAACCTAATTATTGAACTAATTAGAAATCTTGACTTCATGAAATATTAGGTGGGACAAAAGTTGCATCGACCAATTTCCGAGCTACTTGAGAGTAATGTATCAAGTTATCTTAGATACGTTTGAAGAAATTGAGCAAAATTTAGCTTTGGAGCAACGATCATTTGGTGTTTATCATCTCCAAAAACAAGTACATACTAAAGCTTTATCTATAATATATACTTTGTTTTGAGAAATTATATAAGAACATTGATCAATAATAATGGCTAAGTCTATTTGATAGATGGGCGTTACATGTCAAGCTTACTTGCATGAAGCTATGTGGCGCCGTCAAAATGTTGTTCCTACATTCGACGAATACATGAAAAATTCCATTGGAAGCGCCGGCTATTTGTACGTAATTGTTGCCGCTTTTCTAGGCATGGGGGAGTTAGCAACTAAGGATGCCTTTGAATGGGTCGACCAAACAACAAAGGCACAAAAAGCTTCATGCATACTCGCCAGGCTTTTGAATGACATTGCTAGCCATGAGGTATGTACGGATCTTTGAGAGACTCTAGTCCGGTATGACACATTCTCCTTACCTATCGAAAAAAATAATAAAAAATAAAAAAAATAATAATCATGTGACTATATATATTCTAAATTTCTAATAGATGGAGTGTATTGTGGTGTTTCCCTTAGACTTATCTTGCTAGCTTACCAAAATAAAATTAGAAATATCATGTTTCTGAGTATATGTATTATTAGAAATATCGATCTCTTCTTGCTCAAAAAGAATTATCTATCCTAGATTTTTTTTTGTTTTTTTTTTTTTTATTTTTTTTTTAAGATTGCTTGCGAATATGATTCTATAAATGTTCTTTGATGCTATTACTAACAACAATCACCACCTTACCATAAGTCCATAACATTATTACAAATTTATTTTTCAATGATCTTAGCGGTTATAATCAAATGCTCTCAATCTCAATACTTATTCATTTTCATTGTTCTTTTATAGTTCGAGAAAAAAAGAAACCATGTTTCGTCTGCAATAGATTGCTACATGGATCAATTTGGAACCTCCATCGAAGAAGCTACGAGGGGGCTCCAAGTATACATAGAGGAAGCATGGAAGGACATTAACGATGAAATACTTGGGCCAAAAATCGTGCCCAAGCCTTTGCTTTTGCGACTCACCAACTTATCAAGGACATTATATGACGTTTATCATAATGATGAAGATGGCTATACTACTAGCACGTTTACGCAAGAAAAAATTGCCACAATTCTTATTCATCCTATTGCATTATCATAAATTATAAATTTTATGTGTCTCTTTTACCTTAAATTTTACTTTTGTGTTGAGAAATTTACCTTTGGTTATAAATATATGATTTATGTTGATAAGAACATAAATGCATGTATAATATTAATAATTAATATTTACCTTTGTGTTGTATTTATAATATCCACCATCAGTTTTTGCAATGTTTACTGTATTGTTTCTTAACTTTAGCTTATCTCAATATTTAAGCTCTCGATCAAAGATTTCATCTTGTTGATACAAATAAAATATTAAATCCTTTTTGGAAAATTCTCTTTGGTACTCACAAGTTTTTTAATTTTCTCTTTGGTGAAAAGCAAAAATTTCAATTATCTTTGGTAATCCTGAATTATTAGTATAAATTAACCATAACATTTAGATTTATTTTGATTAAAAACTTTAACTAGATTTAGGTTTTTTTTTTGTAATGATTAAATTATTTCAAAAAAAAATTTAATAAAAAAAAACCCAACCACCTGTAGACACCTAAAAATGTCACCCCAAACCCAAACTCAGTGATGAATGATCTTTTACTGCCAATTAGTCAGGTTGCGCATCGGGATTAAGAATTGCTTGAAGTCCTAGCCCATTTCAATTTCAATCCACCTAATCCAATCCATTCCTATCTCGAATATCCATTCAAACCATTTTCCTAGCTCAATATATACCACAAACCATAACCCACTAGTAGAAAAATATAAATGAGCACCGCAAAATGAGCACCAGTTTTTAAAAACCGATGTGAAAAAAATTAGGCGGGATTTGATGAAAGAGTAATCACACCGGTTCAAACCAAACAGGTGCGAACTTATGTTATTCGAACCGGTTCAAATCTGTCCGAATTTAAAAAAAAAACCGCCCCTTTCTCTTTCTTTCCCGTTGTTTTGCATTTTTCATTTTCCCACGCACGACTCTTCTTTCTCTTTCTTGTTCTCTCCCTTCATTTCTCCCTTCTCTTGAATCCACCACGGCCGCCACCTGCGCGCACCAGAACCCCCTCCACCACTGCCGCCACCTGCAGCGAAACCCCATCCACCACAACCGCGTCCTCCAACGGCCACCGTGAAGTCCTCTTCCCTCTTCATTAAGCTTTCAGCAGCGCATGCAAGGGAGTAGCCCCCGGCCCGACATCCACCACAACCGCCTACTCCACCGGCCACCTGTGTAGGAGCAGCCGCCGTCCTCTGCCTCCATCTCTCCTCCCCTTCCACCTCCAATTATGGTGGATATTCTCACCTCTTCCACCTAGGCTTAGTATTAAATTTGGGCATTTTGAACAATTATTTTCAATTCTCTACCTATATTTTCTTTTGCATTTTGAACAATTATTGGGCATATGAGCAAACTAAGTTAGCTAGGGTTTCAATATAATTTAACCCCAATTTTGATTGCTACTTAAATTGTCTATATTATATGTTTCTTTTTGTGAATTTTAGGTGGTTTTAATGGGAAATTTTGAATAAATTAGAGATTAGTAACCTTGTTAGTTAGTTGAATTTTGGTAAGTAAAATATAACGTGGTTGAATTTAGCTTACAAAAATTATATTATTTCCCAAATTTCTAATTTAGTATGAATTAGCGATTAGCAATTGTGTTATAAATTAGGGAATAAATTAGTGAAATTACATAAATTACTCTAAATTTTAAATAAATTAGTGATAAGCAATTGTTAGTTTGATGAATGATGTGTTATAGTTTAGCAATGTATGTAGTATTAAATAATTACTAACTTATGTTTTTTGTTTTTTGTTTTTTTTTTTTGTATTTGTTTTTTTTTTATTATATATATATATATATAGCACAAGTTTAGCTTGAAGATTACATATTTAGCTCAAGTGGAAAGTTAGAAATTTACATCCATTGTACTTGATATATTGGTATGAATTATAAACTTTACAAAGTTATATTTCTTTCTCTTTATCCAGTTAATAAAAGTTTTTCATGCTATTATAACTTGTGTATTGTTTGATGACAAATAAATAATGCAACTATAAAATGCTTGCATCAGCATATGCCTAGATACCCGTTCAAGGCTTTCTCATTAGGAGAAGTCTTGAATAGTCCCTGGTTGGGACTGTTCTTAAACGTTTACTCTCACTTAGGTGGTGAATGTATGTCTTTTTTTTTCGATTTTAAGGAACATCTTGGCTTACCATCTCCTCACCATGTTCTCTAGGTACATATGTGGCTGGGTAAGTAATTACCTACATCATATACTTGGAGAATTGGGGGGAAATGCTACCGAATTTTCCTTAAAATTGGAAAGTCGACATGCATTCACTAGTGAGATTAGACGTTCAAGGATGGGATAGGGTTGGAGTGATAAGGACCCTTTGGAAGCATGCATTTTTTCACTATATGAATGGTATATGCATGGTGTGTACTTGAATTTGATTGACATAATATATGTAGTAATCATACATTATTCATAATATGTTTCTATGTTTAGAGACGATTTATTACTAAATGGAGAAGGATCGTGGTTGGATGTATAGTAGACGTCATACATTGGAATTCTTTCATGGGGTTCAAGAGTTTTGCGAGAGGGCTAACATCTTATCAGCGCAGAATGGGTGTCGGTTGCCTCTATTGTCCTTGTGTTGATTGTAATAATGTGAAGATGGTCAATAGTGTTGAAATCATTAGAGATCATGTAATTTGTTGTGGGTTTAGGCTTAAAAACCATGTGTGGATTTGGCATGGTGAAGAAGGAGAGTACATTGGGGATGTTGATGGGAATAATGTGCATGACAGAAGCGATGAGATTCGTGTGGACGAGGAATACGGGAATGATGAATATATTATTGATAATGGTGAGGATGGAGTTGAGGATGAGGTCGAGGATGATCAGGTGGATGAGATCGAGGATGAAGAGGTGGATGAGATGATGCATGGTGTTGAAGGTGATGTGTTTGAGTCATTATTGGAGGCTTCCAAAAAGCCTTTGTATCCTGGGTGCAAAAAAAACTCCAAACTCTCACCCGTACTAACACTTTTTAACATTAAGTCGAAGCATGGTTGGACAGATATTAGTTTTATTTCTTTGTTGACCGCGTTAAGTGAGATGTTGCCTAACAGAAATTAAACTCCTAAGTCTTACTATTATGAAAAGAAGCTCATGTGTCCATTTGGTTTGGAGTATAAGAAGATACATGCATATCCTAATGATTGTATTCTTTATCGAAATGAATATGAACAATTGGAGGAGTGTCCACGATGCAAGAAGTCGCGTTACAAGTGCATGAGTTGCAATGCTGGTAAGAAAGGACCTCCTACTAAGGTGTTCTAGTATCTCCCATTATTCTAAGGTTCAAGCGTCTATTCTCAACACCAAAAAACGCTAAAAACTTGAGGTGGCATGCAAAGGGAAAAAGAAAAACAGATTGTTGAAACATCCAGCTGACTCTCCGTAATGGAAAAACTTTGATATGAAGTTTGCGAAATTTGGTAATGAAGTCAGAAATTTAAGGCATGGGTTGTGCATGAAATGTAAGTATGTAATACTTTCACTGCAAATAACGGGGCCAAGACAACCTTGAAATGACAAAGATGTTTATCTTGCGCCACTTGTTAACGATTTGAGAAAGATGTGGGACAAAGGGGTTTCCGTTTTTTATGCTCATAAGAATGAGATGTTCACATTGCGTGCAGCCCTTATGTGGACCATTAATGATTTTCCTGCATATGGCAACTTGTCTGAGTACAAGAACAAAGGAAAAAAAGCATGCCCCATTTGTATTGATGACGCACCAAGCATACACCTTGATAATTGTCACAAAGAGGTGTACGTGCGGACCCGAACGATCACCCATACCGTAGGCAGAAAAAGGCTTTCGATGGGATAGTGGAAGAGGGGACTGTGCCTAGTCCATTGACCAGTGAGGAGGTTTATGCTCGAGTTAAGGGTATACAAACGGTATTTGGAAAAAATAGAAAAAGCTACGGACTCAACCGGTCTCTTTAAAAAAGAATCAATCTTTTGGAAGTTTCCATATTGGAAAGAACATAACGTTAGGAATTTTCTTGATGTGATGCATATAGAGAAGAATGTGTGTGATGCTCTTGTGGGAACACTAAAGAATATTCAAGGCAAAACAAAGGATGGAAAGGGTGCACGATTAGATTTGGAAAAGATGGGGGTGAACTCTCTTCTAAATTGCTTTCTTTAACCTTGATTATTCATGGCTAGGACGTCATTTAGATTAAAGGTACTAACATTGTTACTAGAGTGGGTGTTTTTGGAAGAAGAAGGATTGTCGTTCTTCTTTCCTTTCCAACCACTATTATTACTATTGTTAGCAGCTTTCTGTTTTGCAAGGTCGTCCTCAATTTCAATGCCTATGTTATAATCAGCTTTGAAAGTATTTAAATTGCATTGATGTTTCAAATGCTTTTGGTATTTTTCTTGGAGGTTTTTGATAAACACCCTTACAGATTCTTTCTCACTTGGAACTTCGATCATCCTAGCAGAAGTTTCCTTCCACTTATTGTAAAAGGCTGTGAAACCTTTGTTTTCTTTCTGTTTAAGTATTTCAAGTTCCCTATGATCGGTTTCTACTTGAATATTACATTTGTATCTATCAATAAGAATGTGTAATAGATTCCCAAGTAGTGATCTTCTCGGTGTCCATGGAGAAGAACCATTGTTGGCATATTGGCTCGAGAGAAAGTGAGAAAAGTGAGGGGAAAACCTTCTTGTCAATCCCCTTAATCTCCATAATTGTTTCGAAATCCCTCAAATGAAAGTAAGGATTGTCGATGGCCTTGAATTTAGGGATGTCATTGGCAGGGAACTTTTGCGGAATAAGTTCTTTATCCACTGAGACCCTTTTGGAGCTTATTCCAAAGTACTTGTACTCATTAGAGATTTGACTTAAGCTATCTTCCATGCACTTGATGGTTTCGACTGGTACTTGCTTGTTAGGGTCGTCGACTCGAGTGGTGAGTCCCTTGAGCATCTCAGCAAGTCCATTCATGGTCTCCTGAAGCTTCTCGAATTTTTCTTAACTGGCCATTATTACGAACTTTTTTCTGTGTCGAATCGGTTTATCAAAGAGTAGTACTTGAATAAAAGTGTTGTCCTTGATTAAACAACCTTCTCTCCTTGACCAAGCGTTGTAAAATAAAATCATTGACTCTTTTAATGACTTGACTCAAATTGAC